TGGAATGATTAATAATTGTGGTTTAGATTTTTTGAAAAACCCCGAGCACTCCCTCTTCTCAAGTGGCACCTATGTGGCTATGTGTATAACTTCATGATAACTATAAGCAAAAACTATTTTATGCTGTCTGTGTATAATAATATACCTGCAATTGTTATACTATTTAGTTCGAATATATTGTATATATACGTTAATGTTATATATACAAAACATATACTACAGTATACCTACATACGTATTTATACTTATAATATTGTGACAAAAACAACAATTACCTAATTTAATATTAGGATAAAAATATTATACAAGACGAATAGGTAATTACTTACCTACAACTATGATATGCAAAAATTAAGCTTTTGTGTACCAGGAACAAACAAAATATTCAATAAGACTTTAAAAATATTGTATGATCTTAAAAAAAGGCATTGACAACAAGAAAAAAATTTACTTTGGAATAAGGAATCAAAATTGATAATGTCATGAAAAAAAAAGTAAAACAATAACAATAAAAAATATTTTTTTTCTAAAATGTAGTTTTTAAATCAACGCCAAACTTCTCCCAGATCGTAATTGATATTTGATACACAGCTGTGTGTAATATATTGACCCGAACACTTAAAATTGGCAGTCTTCATCAAAATAATTATTATATTTATAATTTTATTTCACTAAATTGTTCGTAAGTGTTTAGTTAAGTTGCACCATATTATTATTCATGAAAAAACGAAAATAAATTAAGTATGAACTTATTACTTAAGATTGTAAAATATGATTTAAAAACTGTTAAGTACCTCTTAAATTATATGCTAAAATATTATCTAAAAGAATTCGTATTTTTAATCACACTTATGTGATACATACTTTGTAATTAATTAGCGCATGAAACTAAATAATCGATCTGTAAAAATATGCAAGTGCATACAAATCTAGTTATAAATAATAAATATTATATCATTTGTAACGTTTCAGGATTTTAATCCTTTTTTATTTTATTAATTCTAGAAACTCGTATATTGTTTGCGAATCGTGAAAACCTGTTCGGGAAAATTGTTTTCAGCATACCAATAGTGAATAGAGGCTATAATAAATAGAATATAGATATAGTCCCAGAACAGTAATGACCTTGGTCTAGCACTTCCATAATCATCATTCATCAGTTGAGCCAAAAAAAACAACAAAAATATATTATGCATACTGAACATAATATATAAACAGATGTATACAGAGGTTCTCAACCTTTTTTATTCTAAAAATTCTTTTTAGATTTGTAGAAACTTATCATCCTCCCGTATTAAAAATATTTAAATCCGTACACGGAATTGTGTATTGCTATGTGTATTCCTCGTCGATTTTACCTTGTAATTGTTTTTAAATTTTTAATTAAGTTAAATCTCCCCCCCCCCCTCTCATCAGTGAAAATTATTAACGCTCTCTTAGGTTTGAAAACAAACTATATATAGCATTAAGTTCTTATAAAAAATTATAGATGTTGTCTATACAAGCTCTTAAATACATTTTTTTCAAATTCTAGGTTAAATTAAAGAAGACTTCACATTGAGTTGTTTAAAATAACTCAATCACTCTTGTCTGTTTACTTAGGATAATCGAGCACGAACTTGCTGTGGCGTATTCAATATTAAAGTGTATTATATACTGATGTAAATTCAAAATTAAAGACAGAGAGAGAAATATTCAACAGTCCCTCCTATGGACATAATAATAATAAATATTGATTCAGATAAGTTTAGGACACAAACATATATACAAAATACAAATAGGCCATAAATTGTCAATATGAATGTATCATTGTATATAATTAGTATCTAATAGTAAATTAGATAGATATTTAATAAAACAAAGAACAATATTATAAGAAACAACTCAAATTATTCTATAGTATAATAATATAGGTAATGTCTTACCCGTTATATACCTATAATCCTACTATTCCTATTACCGATTCAACGATGACGACGTATAGTATAATTTAGGCTTATATGCTTCATACTATGTAAGAGTCGAAATTAAATTCTACAATAATTTATTTTTTTTATACTTCAAAAAATAAAATAAACATTTTCTATTGCTCTCATCTGGTAAGAATATAGGTACGTCATTATCATACGATCAACGCCCACCTATAATTATAATTCCATATTATAAATTATAATATGTAAATATGATGGTTTCGGCAATGAATAGATAGATTGTATTTTACTATTTTATGTAGTTCTAAATATAATATTAATTTAAATTCTGCAGTGACGCGCACGAGTTAATAACATTAGTAAATTTCGTCTTAGACTATACCGTCCTATACCTGAGTAAAATTGTAGGTATTTTATGCAATATGCATCTTTTGCGCCGTTGACAATATTAAAAAAAAATCGTCTATATATGTAGGTACACAATATAAATATAGAAAATAGAAACAACTCAACCACCTGTTTATCGATAAATATAGGCGTGAATAACACAATTATAACATACAGGTTGACTCACCAGGCATGCACACCCCCATTTTTCATTTAATAATGAATTTATTAAAATTTTAAATATACTTTAAAAGTTAAGCTGTATATTCAAAGTCTTGAGATTGGTATACTATACTTAAGGAGTGTTCTGTAGGTAATTCAAACTTCTATTTTACATATGAAAGCCCGCAATGTATTTTTACAGTAAATTATGAAGCGAATAATTTTTTTAAAAATATTGAAGTACCTGTAATTTAAAATTTGAAATGGTAGTTTCTTAGTTATTGAAATGTTTATACACTAAGAATAAAAGTCCATAAAAATAGTTTTACAAAAGTACAAATGATGGAATAGATGTAAACTTCAACAATTTTTACTAATAATAAATTTTAATAGATATTATAATACTAATTACTACAATTTTCAAATCACGATATCCTTAATATCTTCTAAACCTATTTTTATAGACCTTAGTACCTACACTAGTAACTTAAAAACTGCTGGTTCCATTTTTTATTTGAAAAATAGAAATTTGTATCTCCATTTTCCATACAACACTGCTTTAATAGTAGAAAAAAATATCTCAAGAATTTGAAAATATATATGAAAATTATAATATATAAAAATTCCAAAAATCAGATTTTGCTTAACTGCATTATTGAAGAAGAAGGAAAGAGGAGAGTGAGCTTACTTGGCATGGCCGTAGCCTAGATATTGCCTCCCCTTTGGCCTCATGCGTATAATGGTATGGGGGCTCTTATACATTAACATTATTCGATAGAATTTACACAGCGATTAAAAATAGTTTAAGATTTTGACGATTAGCTGCAATAGTGCAATTTAAGATTTGTTGTTATATATATATATATTTAGTATGTATGTGAATGTAAAACCGACAATCTAAAAGAGAAAACTGTTCAAACAACTTAAAGCATTTAGAGCCACCAGCCACCTAACAAATGATAGCATCGGTTGAAGTGTTTGGATGTAGCTCAATGGCTAACGAATCAACATTTTTCTGCTTAAAACGAATCGAAAACCCGCTTATAATCGTAATTAGCTTTTCAACCTTACAATATTGGCATTTCAATAAAAACGGACAAAAACCTCAATATTGAGAAATTGTTGAAATATTTAAATTTGAATTCAAACAGGACATTTTTTATTTTTATTTAATTTATATTAAAAATCTTTTTACAGATTAATGGGCCTCACGGAGATAACTTGTGTGGAGGCCCAGGGTTATCTATATCTTAACATATTAATATTTCATACATAAACATCTACAATTAAAGAGTGGAAACTATTATAATGTAAAAAAATAAGATAAAAAATAATAGGATATAAATTTAAGTCAATTCATAAATCGCACGTATTAGCAGCGTCATATTCATACATGAGTGAAATACCAGAGTGAAATTTGCTTTTTAAAATATAGTGGTGGTTGCACATTTATTGTATCTGGACTTAGAGTTGTAAATAATATTTATTCCAATAACATTGAAAACCTTTCGACGGGGAGTATTTTTTGGCAAGGTTATATATCTAGTATTAACACTATGGTTCAAAGGATATAATGATTGTGTTTTTTTTATGTATAAGGGATCTATTTATTTTGAAGTATAAATTTTTAATATTCAAAACGTATAACTTTATAAACAATGTTTCGGTTCGATATCTATTCTATAGCCTTTTTTCATTATGATTCTAATCAGAGCCTTGTGCCCAGTTTATAGTTGATAAAGAATATTATTACAACTGTAGTATAAAGAATAAACCAATCTGTCTAATCTTGTAGAATAGTATTAATTATTATCACTAACTGTCTATTGTCCAACAGTGTTGGTTCTATAATAAGTTTGAAAAAACATCTAGAAAATGATAAGTATACCATCAACCAGAGCAATTCATAATATTATTAATTATAATTATAAATTTATCTAAAATATCGGATTCATAATATCAACACAATTTTATGCAATAAGTTTATTATGCCCCCATTAAAATGCCGATCATCAGCCCCCCCCCACTCCTCCACAATGTGGTCGAGCTGGTGCTTGGTGAATCACGCTGTATAATATATTATAGGCATATAACTATGTATTACATATTTACATTACAATAATAATGAAATGCGATTGAAATACGATTTCGGTTTAATCTCCGTCACCGTTGTCGTCGTCACCACATTATAATAATAATAATAATTTGTTTACACATTAAATTATACACTCGTTGAACACTACGCGCACGCACACCACACACAATTATAATAATAATAAATTACGTATCTTGTGTGTACGTGCGTGCGCGTGCGTAATGGATGTAACATAATAATATTATATTATTATTATTATTATTATTATTATTATTATACCCGTTCCAAGGTAGGCCGCCGTCCGAGAGAGACGCGATTGGATTTTGGGGGGGTGGTTTTCACAGTCGTCCGCGGCGGCGTCGGCGGCGGCTGCGAAATATTTTTTCTTTTTCTATTTTACTTTTTTCCCTCTCAATCGACTGACCGAACACATTGCCGTCACGTCGCCGTCACTGCGCGCGCCGTGCGCCGACTTGCTCTTGGCCGTGTCACTGTTACCGTCGTTGTCGTACAACCGTCGTCGTCGTCGTCTGGTCGCCGCGCGCGCTTTTTATACCGCTCTTGACGAGTGTTTACCTATGGTTATAAAATACCCGAGTGATAATAATAATAATATTATACCTGTGTGATAATATTAATAGTAATATTTGAAAAACACAAATAGATATTATTATTTTAATAGTATAATATAATATAATATTATAATAATATAACAATATCACATCGATAGTTTTTTCGTTACTGTTGTTGTTATTTTTATTATTATTTTTCGTCATCGTTGTTGTTGTTGTTGTTGTTTTTGTCGTGGTCGTCGACTGAATAGAGTTGTTTTCGCGTTTCGTTGTCGGTTTATTATCTTTCGGAATTTTATCGAAATTTTGACGGTCCAGTCGCGAAGTACCCGCGCCACACGCAAAAACAAAAAAAAAATAATAACGATTTCGTGCGCTCAAACGGTTTCCGCGATCGAGTGCCCCCCAACGACATTATATTATACATGAAAAAAAGTTCTTCGTGTCGAGTTATTATTTAATATTTTCGATTAGATTTAATTTCTTCTACGTTTTACCTTTTTGGTTTTTTATCCGCCGATTGTGCCTATATATGACGTATAGGTTTGACCGAACGGCGAAAGAAATACTCTCGAAGACGACAAGATTGTACACCGCACGAAAAACATTATTACGAACTTTTCGAAAAGCCGTTAGATGTTTAAGCGCGCCGGTACCCTATAAAAAACGCACTTACCTACCTTCACTGCAAGACAATATTATTAAAGTGAGTACAAAATATAAACCTTTAAGTTATGATTAATGCTGCTTGGTATATAATTACATTTTTTTTTTATCCACATATTTCAATCATAATAATTATTAATTACTATATGAATTAACTATACTTTATAATATACGCTTAAGCATTTTGTTCTGTACCGATGTTGGATTTCGTAAATACAATATTATTGTATTATATTAATTATATCTTACTCAACCGAATTTTCCACTACAGTAAACAGTTATTACTACTTTGATCTCTATAGACGACTACAAAATATCTCGGTTTTAAAGCATTAATGCATAATACCCATTGTCCATATTTTCTAGCTTATAATATTTTTGTACCTATACCTACCACGTTTTTTTTGGTATCAATTTTTATCAATTTTGTATTTTTAAATTTGCTGTTTTTAGGTAAGTACCTAAAGTACGTCTTAAGTTATAAAATCAGTATGTCCTATTGTTAGCATATACAACCCATAAATACTTTTAGATGTTAAGTAGGTATAGTTATAATTAATAATAATTATAAAGAATATTGTTTGCATTATATTACCTGTAGGTTGGTACCTACAATATGCTCGTAGTTTATATATTATAATTTATAGTATCGTTTTCGAGAAATGTCGACATATAACCAACATTTATCGTGTATTTTATATAATAATATTATAGTTGATAGGTACCTATGGTTTATGGATATAAGTCGGTCAAGTTTACGATGATAAATTAAATTCGATTGTTCGAAAATATTTGATCAAAAAATTATAATTACGCAAACTATGCCACGGTGTAACATTCGTGTTTATCGTTTATGCATTATACTCGGTTATAATATATTATTACATTATTACAATATAATATATAACTCTCGTGCTAAGTCGAAAAGTGTACACATCAAGTTTGATATGTGGCTGACTCTATACGTATACATTTTACTATTTTAGTATCGACCCCAAATTTTCAAAGTTTAATACTATAATATTATTTCTCGAATCGATTTAATCTTCGTTCATAGGTACTTATAGACACCGCAGTTAAACCATAGTTTTGTATCGTTACTCCTCTCGCTCGGCGTCAACATCGCAAAACTCATTCGCCTGCCCATCGTAATATTATTGTTTATTTCGCTGTACTATTATTAATATTCCGAGAATATTCTGTTTGCCGGGCAAATCGCCGTTCCGATTACAGCCGCTGTTCCTGAAAATTCTGCAGCCGTCGACTGCGGTATTGTCTAAATCCCCGGGGCTTTTTTTTTCGTCAATGGTTTTCCCGGTAGAAAGTAAACGTAGAGGTTTGGGCAGAGAACTTCGAAATAGTTACGCATATGATATGTGTGAATAATAATATAATATGTAAAATACTGTTTAATTCGGTTTTCGAGTTGTCGTATGCACGCGTGTTGCGGATGACAGCGGGGCGCACGTCGTGCAGGTGATTTACTCTTTTGAACCATCTGCCATTAATTTAAAAAAAAGAACAAGCAATTATTTAAACCTAGGTACTTCTTGCTAAAAATATGGACTCTATGCGTCAAGTCTGTTAAATATAATTCCATTTCTATTACCTATGTCCATTATGGGGTTTTGTTACCGAATTCTCGAATGCTGTCCTTGCAGTTTATTACGTATAGGTACCTACCTATTATATTTTTATGTTGTTTAATATATGTTTAGGTATAATAGTCTACATAGTTGACTTTGATAATCATATAATAATAATATCAATATGTTGTAATAATTATCATGATATTATTCTTGACTTTTCGGTAGTTAGAACAATTTACCATTCGATTGCAACAGGTTTTATTTTTAAAATTCATCGTGTCTATTCATCATATTATACTTATATTATTTGGTTACCTCATGATAAATTGAATAACGTTGCAAACAATTTCGGGAAAAACTTTATTGATCAAATTAATGTTGCAATAGATTCAATTAAATCATAAGAATGAACTTCCTTAGAAACTCGCATCAAATTAAATTATAACATGTAGGTATTCCAAAAAATTTTTAAGTTGTTAACATTTTGATTAATACTAATTTTTTTTTAGTTAACTTAAAAGTAATTACTTTGTCTAAGTATATTATATAAATATCATATTTCGTCCATATTTCTGACCATCTTTAAATATGCAAGAAATATCTATAATATTTCATAGATTATAGGTGCATACCGTATTTTATATCTTTGGTTAACTAAAAAACATTTAAATTTACAATAAAACAAAATATTACAACAAATATTTAATAGTCATAATTAATATATTGTTATGAAAATAATGACTATCATATATTATGACTACCTACTATAAATTTATTATTAACTCCTTATACTTATATACCAATAATTAATTTTTCTAAAAACATGTACAAACTTTAAATTATCAACCCTTGTTAACCCAATTAAATACATAATTGAAATGTACAGATTTTATTTTAAATTTATCTGCTTAACATTTTGTACATTTTTCATTTATTTTGCATAAGAAAAACCAATCACGCTTAAAGATTCTTCTCCTCTTTGTATTCATTTTTACCACCACTATAAAATTAAAAACTATTTTTCATAATTTTCAAAAATTTAACATGTATTGTTTTTATGACCTAACCATAGTTTATGTAATTTTTGCTAAACAATGTAAATTTAAACAACCTACCTAATCCCCAAATATTTATTTCTTATTTAATGTAATGAATTAATTGATTTGTTATACCTATCTGCCATTACGTTTTGATTAACTTATTCATATTGCATAAAATATTATATAAATAGTATAAGATTACTTACATACCCACTGTTAAGATTTTATCAATATTTTATCAAGACATTTTCTGAAATTATAAAAAAAAAAGGATTGTAGGTACCCAGTATTAATCATAAATAATATTTTACTTAGAAAATATTATTGTTGACATATCATTAATTTATTACTACCTATTTAAAAAGACATGACACAACAATTTACTGTCTTTGTGAACAGTAGTCAGTACCTATTGGAAATGCATACTGCTCGTTTTCTTTGTGGCTTTGCCGTGGAGCTTATAGGTATAATAATCGTGTTTCACATCAATTATCGTTTAAATGAAGAACTTTTTCAATGGCAGTACATCTTATTTTCAATATTTTCATCTCAAATTATAATATAAACGCTTCATACGCTCATATTAATATTTAACAATTATCACTCGTACATGTTTAAGGTTTAATATTCAATTATACAAGCCAATACTTTCATATAAGATGAAAATCGTGTACATTCTATTTTAAATCATAAATTGTATTTTGTAAATGTCTTAAATAATTTAAACCGCTTCATATATTATACAATCGACACAAGATTACAAAAAGGTTTGTCATTAGTTTTTCTATACTATACCTATTAAACTAATGCAAGTTAACACATTAAGATGTATGGATTTAAAAAAAAATTAAATTAAATTATCTAATATAATAAATTATTAGGTTTTAATAATTAAATTCTCATTTTACCTATTACACTTTTGATGGGAGAAAAATTAAACCATCCCATTGCATTATTGAGGTGATTAATTAAAGTAGTTCATATTATAATATGATGTTAAAACTCATACTGCTTCAAGTATAGAAATAATATGTTTATTTCATATAGTTGCAATGCTATAGCCATCATTGATTTATATTTGAATTCAATAATACCTACTAGAGATTATATAGACAGACATTTTCAAATTGTGTAATACGGAACACTTGTGACTATACGGGGCCATACATCAATACTATTAATTGAAAATATTTTATAACGACTTTTTAAAAATAATTGGTAATACAAGTATAAACGTAAATCGGATTTTTTCTCTAAATTATAATATTTGTATTAATTTTGTGTTAACGAATTACTCATTAGCCATTGCATATTCAAGTTATTACCATGAGTAATTCGTTAATGTAATGAAACGGATACTTGAGAATACTTTTACAAAAATATTATATTACGTGTACTACGAGGTACTGACATACGTTTTATATGATATTATATAGATATTACTATATATTGTACCAGTACCTACCCCCATTCGATATATTTTTAACATGCCAACGCCGTGATACCTAATGATTGTAATAATGTCATAATATGTGAATTTGTCCCTCTAACGATTTTGGACACCTCTATGAGATAGGACGTATGAACTATTAAATAATATTATTATGCATTCATTAATCGTAAGTAACTCGCCGGTTTTGTTTTGTTTTTTTTGTTTTTTTTTTTTTAATAATGTAACAAGGAATATTAAGGTACATTATTAAAAGATAATATTTGATACACTGATTAGTATTAGTGGTTGTGTTACTCGATATACAGAACAAATAAAATTCAAACATACTTATTCTTAGCTTATTTTTAAATAATTGAAATTACCGTAGACTATTATTTACATATTATAAATTAATGTGTACAAGTGTTAAATGTATTTTAAACTCAAATAGTAGAATAATAATTATTTTGTATAATAATATGATGTGTAAATTAGAAGTAATGAAATGTTGGTAGGTACCTATTACGTAGATGTTTGGACATAATATTATCAAGTAGTAATATTTCATATTTAAATATGTTTGAATTATATGGGTAATAGTTATTTCATTATTTGTCGTTTTAAGACAGAGGAAGTTAAATATATATTATTGTAATGTATCCATTTATATTTTTATATTTTATTATATGCACAAAATATTTAGCACCCTTAACACAGATGCAAATATATGTTTGCTCCTCAAAAACACAAATAAAATATAAAACCGTCATATTAATAATAACCCAGGTACCTATTATTATCGATCTTAAATTGTTGAGAAAATAACAACCAACAGCACATTTTTCAGATGAATATAATTTATTATATGCACTTACCTTTCCATTGGAAATAATAAAAACCTATCTTTAGTAACACTAACTTCTGCACAATACTAACTAAATAAATTCAATACTATCCGAATCCGTAGTGTATATTGTAT